CCCCACATTGCACGTTTAAAAGGGGCAGGGCTTTGGTCACACGGCTGTGGCCAGCATCGGGACTTGGCTGACCCCCTCCCTGCGGACAGCCCTGCTTATGACCACGGAGGCCAGACTGCAGGCTGAACTTTCCACCCCCGCTCCTTCTTCTCTCCTATTTATATTCATATCTCTGCCTGTCAGCTTTTTAAACTGAATGCACACGTAACACATGTACCCATCGCGCTATTCCCTTCTGCAGTGCACAGAAGAAGAAGAAGAAGAAGAAGAAGAAGACGACATTTATAAAAACTTACAAGGGAGGCAGGAGAGAAGGGGATTATTCTGCCCACCCCCCTCTCTCCATCCCTTCCTGACCACCCGCGCTTCCCCAGGCCCCACGTCCTGCTGCTCCATGCCGTTTGCTGGTCTGGCTTCTCGCCCCTTTGGCAGCTGCGCTTGCTCAGGAGCCGCGGGGAAGGACCTCCTCGAGGCTCCTTAGGAGAAAAGAGTAGAGTAGCCCCCTTGCCGTGGGCTTGTCCTCATCTGGTAGCCGGCCGGAGGAGTTCCTCTTCGGCTCGTCGTTTTCGCTCAATCGTTTTCCCTGGCGTAGATTTTTTTAAAGTATAGCCCGCCTAGACCTTTTGCCTCCTGTTTTTGGGTCTTTGCGTTTTAATAGTGGGGTGGGGATTTTTTTATTACGCCATTCCTGAACTGTCCTAGCGTCTGTCCTCCAGCGAGGGGCGACCAGGAAGCAGGCCGGAGACGCTCGCTGGCTCCCTGAAGCGATACCGAGCCCTGCAGTAGCCTTAAAAGCTCTTCCTTCTTTCTCCTCGCCAGCTTTTTCAAGGCCGTCACCCTGTTTGGCAGAAACAGCAGGGTTGTTGACTGCTATCTCAGCTCTTCTGCCGCCGCCACCCCAGACCTCAAGTACATCTCTCGTATCCACGCCCGGGTGATTCGGACCCCCAGCGCTTACGTCCTCGTGGACTCCAGCCTCACAGGCGTGTACGTCAACGACGTCCGCATCAACGGTACGTGTTGGCAGCATGGTTTAAAGAGGTGCGAGGGAGTGCGGCCGCGAGGACTTCCATATTGGACCGATAATCCTTCTCGCAATGGCGGTTGTAGTCGCAAAACAGAGCGCACGTGCCAGACTACGATGCTGTGTAGCAGGAGGGGCTTCGTGACAAAACCTTTGGACTTTAAATATATTTTTAAAGCTCTTTTAATTGATTCTGTAAACATTTATTGGCATACAGGTAGAGTAGTTTTGCAAGAAGGAGATACTGTTACTTTTGGCCATCCTACTGGGAAGAACCTGCTCCTGGGAAGCCACACCCGGCAGCCGAACTCTCCGTTTCATTTTCTGGTAAGGCTTTTCTTTCCCTGCACGTTGCGTTTCCGTCTCCCCGTGAGCTCCTCTGCCGTCTGCTTGGGTGACCGATGAATAGCCTCTGGGGACCGCATCTGGGGAGATCACTGGCTAGGTCCACCACCACCCCCCATTTATACTCCAGTAAATTCTGCATGAAATACGAAAGCAATTTTATTTTACTTGTGATTACTCACGGAACTGCAAATGTTGGGAACGGTAGCAGAATCGAAGACCATAAGGATTGTCCGTAACTGTTGGAAAGCCTCGCCCGTCCGTATATCTCTGATCTTCCCCTCGGGGCAGCTGCTGTTGCCTCTCCACGCTTCATTCTTGGCCTTCGTACCCGACTCCCAAATATATATAATACAGTTTGCAGAGACGTGTGCTGATCCACAGCCATTCTCATTAATTTATCGTTCCTTGCAGCAGACCACATTCTACCCACTACCTTTCTAGCAGTATTTGCACATCTTAAATGTTCTCCACCATTTCCCCACCTTTAGTAAATGCAAATTCATCTATTTGCATTAGTTTTCACCATTCATTTATTTGTTTATTAAGTTTATATGCCACCCATCTCACTGTATAATTTATGTGTAATCATTTACTCCATTTTCTGTCAAATGGAACTATAGGTTTCTGACACATTACTTTTCAGATTGTGGTGGTAAAAGTATCCCCCCCATATATGTATGAGCTGCATGCATTACCAAACCTATGAAATGCATGCATCTCATCTCGCCCATGCATGTGAACTGCTTAATTCACATTCAGCTTGCCCTTGAATTTCGTGTCCTGAGATTCCCAACTCTTACTTCCATACAAACTGACTGATTGATTCTGTGCCATCAAGCCGTTTTCGATTCCTAGCAAGCGCCTAGATAGATTTTCTCCTGCCCCTAACCTGGTCCTTCAGGCCTTCCGATGATGCCCCCATGGCCACTGCAACTGAGTCCCTCCCCCGGCTGCTGGTCCTCCTCTTCCTCTCCTCCCTTCCCCCTTTCCCAGCATCAGAGCCTTCTCCAGACAGCGTGAGGGGTCTTTGCATGAGGTGTCCAAAGTGGGATCGCTTGAGCCTGGTCGTCTGCGCCTCGGGCGAGAACTCTGGGCTGATTTGTGCGGTGACCCATCGTTTGCATAACTACCTGCAGCCGAAGTAACATTCAAAAGGGGCAACCAACAAGTCTGCAAACAATAAATTCTTTCCCCAACACAATCTCAGAGTCGCGGTCTCTGGGTTAAAAGGTTGAAGCCGCATCTTGGCGATTTGGTACAGCTCCATCAGGTTTGATCTGGGTAGGAGCAGGCAGCAGACACAACACAGGGGAGCGATTTCTCCTTTGCCTTTGGCCTCTGCCATATCCTTTGGCAGCAAACCGCCGGTCTGAGGGGGGGCCTCCTTTAATGAATAGTAAACGGTTAGCCCCTGGGAGGACAGTTCAGTCAACAGACAGGACAGAAAGGCTTTTGCCACTTGAGGGGAAGACAGGTTGGAAAGTACATCATGGCGAGGGCCTTCTTAAAGGGCACACACATAAAAGCCGTCTGAAGAAGACTTAGTAACAGCGCCCAGGCCCCCAGGCTGCTTGAGCCCTGCAAGAATCCAAGGGCGGGCGTGAGCTTACGAGGAGAGTAGGCATCCCTGCACCCCCGTGGTCTTGTGATCATGATCCGGGTGCTTGGCAGCCAGCTTGCACTTAGGACAGTTGCAGCAACCCAGGGTCATGTGATTGCCATTTGCGACCTTCCCAGAGGGCTTCCAACAAGCAAAGTCAATGGGGGAAGCTGGATTCGCTTAATGACCACCGCAAAAAGGTCATAAAATCATGCCTGATTTGCTTAACAACCGCCCCACTTAGCATCCAGTTTTCTGGTTCCTATTAAGCAAGGATTACCTGTATGTCAAATTGCCCATCATTCACTTCACTTGTACTGTCAGCTGGCAAAAATTCAAACTCGCCCATGCAGAGTTTTCTTCATACCTAATCCATTCTGCACCTGCCCTGGGCTCACACCTGCAGAGCCCTCACAGTGCTTTCCGCTGGAACCCGCACTTCACAGGGTTCTCCCAAAAAACTTCCCTGGCCAAAGTAGAATTCCCCCAAGCGTCTCCTCAAAGGAGTTCAGGATCGGAGAGGAAAAGGGAGGTGGCAGAAACCCTGAGCCTGCAAAGGGGCAGGAGCGCCCTGCCCGTGATTGACTGCCTCCCCTCTCATCCTCCCAATCTGAGTCACAGCACCAAGCAGTTGTGGCCAAAACCTGGCTGGCCTAAAGCAACCAAATCACTTTGAAGATACAACATAATTTTATTAGCATTCAAACAATAACACAGTATATACTGGGCTCCCAGCAAAGCATTGGCGCTTTGCTAGGTAGCCCTGATCAAAGCCAGAACCATAGCTTATACACCCTCTCCTCATTTAGTGACCGCAATTTGTTCCTTAAATCTGAAGCGAAATGATTGCTAAGTGAACTAAGAGAGAGAGAGATGCTGCGAAGAGCACTGGTTGCCTCCGTCTCATTTAGTCCTCTTGTGCAGCAACGCCAGCGTTACTGTCACTCTGGTGTGCATTGTTGCCAGGCACACAAAATTTAGTCATAAGTGCACATGTTGGTCGGAAGTGACTTTTTATTATTATTAGTGTCGTATTTGCGAACGGCCCTTAATGAGGGAGCTGCTAAATGAGCAGTGGCTGTATACCCTTGGCCTACTCCAATGCAAAAAGTCAGACACGGCATAAATTGCCGCATGACGTTGCAATGTTTTTGATAAAGCCATCTAGGTGATATTTTATTCCTTCCTTTGAGGTCAGAATGCTAGCTATACAGGTAGTCCAATGGCAGTTACAATGGCAATTGGGACTAGAATTTCTGTTGCTAAGCAATGTGGTCGTAAAGTGTGATGTCACATGACTGCATTACTTAGCGACGGCAATCCTGGCAGTCCCTGATGCCATCGTTAACTGAATACCACTGGTCATTAAGCAAGGACCCACCCTAATCCAAGCCACTCCTGGCTTGGTCCCTCCTAGCCTCTGCCTCCTCTTCAACTCCCCCCACCCACCTATCTCTCCCCATCTCTGCCCTTTTGGTCGTCCTGCATAGTGGCACTCCTTGGTGGCGGCGGTGCTGGGGCTGAAGTAGAGGCCCATATTTGAATTATAATTATTTTAAAGCTAGAAGAGGCCTTCAGAACAGCAGGACAATAGACCACCCGGTGCATGAGCCTTCATTCCAGATTAAGGAAAGGAATAAAATAACAACTTCAAGAATTTAAAATCAGCTGTAAAAAGCTTGACAAGAATCTGGTTTAAGAAAGTTTTAAACGGATTAAGGGGACAGTCAATCTTAAAATATTTTTATTTTTGCAAAATGTTTGATTAGAGAAAAGACAAGTACATTTATTAGTGACCGGAAACCCTTTTTGCTAAAAATAGAAAAAAAAGTGAACTGGTGATTTAGGGATTTGATTAGAAAGGGTAGAATATGGGAAGAAGGGAATAATGATATAACCTTAAAGAGGGAGGACAGACAATAACTTTATTTGTAGCTGCTGTAAAGAAGAGTGGAAGCCGCTTCTTTATACTTTTTTCTTTTTCTCTCTTTTCTTTATCTAGTCACCACTTTTCTTTACTTTTTTTTTTATTTGTATGGCATTTGCTATTGTATAAAATTCTTCAATAAAAAAAACATTAGTTAGTAACTCTTCTGCTTTTTTTCAGTTTGAGCACTGCCGTTGTCGTATTGATCGGATGCAAAGTGTTTATGGAGACAGAAGAAGCTTCCCCCAAGAGTTAAAAGTGAGACATGCAAACAGGTGTTTTCTGATAACAGCTGGGTTCATGACTCACGCTGAACCATTGTCTTCCTTTAGCAGTTGTTGAATAAACTACAACCGTGGCGTTTGTAGCGGGATTTACAGATCACAGTAGCCAGGCTTCCATAATAAGCGAAGCCAAGGCCAGGTAGACCATATGGCCCTCTGGAACAACATTGCCCCAGAGATATGGACAGTGCCCACCCCCTTGGGGTTCTGGGAAGTTAATGTGGCTGTTACGTGTCGATGGGGCCTGTCTTACTGTTTTAGTCTGACCTGCTTGTTTATATGGATTTTAAATGTTTCAGTTTTACTTTTTGGGGGGATTTTGTTAGCTGCTCAGAGTCTTCTGAAGTGGCAGTCATAACAAATCTAATACAGGTAGTCCTTGTTTAGTGAACACAATTGGGACCGGCAGCTCTGTTGTTAAGCAAAGCGGTTGCTAAGTGGGTAGTCTTCGGAATGCTCAGCCAGGCAAGAAAGGAATTAATCTTCGTATTTACGTTCCTTGGAGAGGAAGGGATCGCAAGAGGATAAACAGGCACACCATGGGGAATGCACATCGAAAGGAATGCAGTGGCGCTGGCAGACCTGAGTGCGCAACAGCCCAGTGTATTCCCCATGGTGTGCCTGCCTACTCTCGTGTAACCCCCTCCTCTGTGGTCTCTCCAGTGTGCAAGGGGTGGGGGGAGGAAAAAACAGGTCAGGGACAGGAGAGATTGCCTGCAGAAGAAATTGGTTGGTTTTTTCCTTCCCCGGTTTTCTTCCTCACTTGAAAATAGGATTTGGGTAGAATAACAGTCTGTCTGGACAGCTGTTTCTAATTCACATTTGAGAAGTGTTGGAGGTGGAGTTCCACCTATTCAGGAAGCTGGGTAGGTAGGATCCTCACAGAAATGACTCCCTGGTGCGTCTGGCCTACAGAAGTGCTGTGAATACTGAGAGCTGCAGTTGCAACACCTGTAAAAGTGCTACCTTGGGGAAGCTTACAAATTCAGGTACTCCTCATATGTGGAAGAAGCTCTGAAAGACGCAGGGGCTTTTGTTGCTGATCTCTTGATTTTCTTCTTTCCTATAGCACCCCGCATTGGTTTCTGCTGGAGTTTCACATCCGGACAACCTAAACTTGGCATTTACGCACAACGTTTCTCATCCTCAGATGGCATTACCTGTGGTCCTGCCAAACCATTCCCCCCTGGCAAACTCTGTCACACAGTGTGACCACCACACTACTTTGGCTCCACCGCTGACCTCTGCTCTTCCAGCATCCTCCCTGATTACGTCTCCACTCCCCACGCCTTCTCAGAGCACGACCTCAGGAGCGCCAGAAGCATCCAGCCAGGCCAGGCTTTTTGCATCGTCTTTTTCTCCACTAAGTGCTTCTTGCAGACCAGCCTCCCGAGTTCTCCGTTCCACTTCACCTGAATACACAGTTCCTGGCGAGGACTCATTTCCTTCCGTCAAATCTTCTCCTCTTCAGGAAAGTTCAGAATCCAGCGATTCCGTTTCTGTCAGTGGCAGCAGTGAGAGTGCCGTGGAGTCCGTCATGCCTAATTCGCACCAGTTGTTTCAACACGAGTGTGCCAGCAGTGAACCTGAGAGAGCCTGCATGCATCCTCTCTTTCCTGGCCCTACCTGTTTGGAAGCTTCTCTAACAGCTGATCATGGTGGCTCCCAGAGTGAAAAACCAACAAAGGCATCTGGACCCTGGAAGGAAACACTGCAGCTCACACCCGTCTTTCAGACAGAAACCAGAGGCACTCGTGGTCGTATATTGTCTGTTTTTAGCACAGAGACTCCAGCTCTTAGTGAAACTGACCAAGATGAAGAAACGGCTGAGATGAATCTTTGCCAAAGTACTGAAGAAACTGTTGGTCACTGGGCATCTTGTGCTTCAGAACCAGACATCACAGTGCAGGAAATGGAAGGGATTAAATTGGCTGGGAGCAGCACTCAAGCAGCAAGTGGTTCCATGGATGGGTGCAAAACAAACTTCATGGAGGAACCCTTACCTAAAGCTTCCATAGAAGACGCAGATGGAGTGGAAAGCAGAGCAGTCAGTCTCTCTGTAAAAACTCAGACGTTGCTCCCTACTGAATTGGGACACACTGAACATGACTCAGCAGACGGAACTGCTAAGGTCTTTTTTACTTCTGGTGAAGAACCAATGAATGATTCTTCCACCAAAATCTTGAGTCAAGACAAATTAGATTCTGAGAGAAGAAGTGCAATTTTACCTTCAAGAAATTCATCTTGTGGGACCCAGAGTGGTGGTGTGGACTCTGCAGTAGATTCTCAACAAAATGTTTCAGCTAGTGAAGATGTGGAAATGGAATCTCCAGTAGATGCTGGCTTAGACTCTGATGGTAGAGACCTTGACCCAGAGATGGGCTCTGTGACTCCAGTGGTTGCTGAAGGCATTTGCGATAGTGTGGTAGAAATGTGTGCAGAAGTGGGAATGTGGAGTGATGGAATAAAGCCTGATGAGATGAAAGTAGCAGTAACAGAATCTTTAAAGGATGTGAACCCAAACAAAATGTCAAGTGATGATGGCATTGACTCAAAGGCACATGTGGCCAAGGAGATGCTTCTTCAGAAATTACCCAAGACCCTGGTCATTGATGAACAATTCAAGGGCAAATTCTTCAAAGAAGAAAAGGAAGGTTTGATTGAAGCTTCTGAAACAATACAAGAAACCCCCCATTCCAAAAATCTATCAGAAGCTTATGAAGATGGAAGGGATCTTGGAACAGATTTGCTGCAAGCAAGTCCTGTTTTGAGGAAAAAAGTGATTCCCGTAGATCCTTCAGAAACTTTCATTCCTGAACCACCAAGGAATTTAGGTGAACTGATTTTTGAGAAGTGCCTGTTCCAAAGCAGCAAGAGTCTCTCTGAAAATCAAGTGGGAGAAGGGGCTGTGATGGAGGAAAAATCAGAACACAAAAATCCCAGAGGCGCTGAACCCAACAAGAACTCAAACAATGAGACTGCTGATTCCAGGCTACAGACTGTAGAAGAGTTGAGGCAAAACAGTGTTTCTTCCCTGGGAATTGCTTGTGTTTCAGTGGTTGGAGTGTCAGGAGGAGAGCCGCCCAGGTGCAAAAGTGGAAGTGAGAGGCGTCAGAGTGATTCGGAGTATAAGGTTCTACCAGGGGAAGAAGAATCAGAGGTGGAAAGAAGAATAATCAGCACCGCAGCAGCAACCAGCAAAGATGCAGCCAACCAGCACCAAGAGGCTGAAGATGGCCTGGAAGAAGAGTCAAGACCCCTTACAGTGCAGGAGAGCATGAACTGCTCTGGTGCTGATGCCTCCCTCACAAGAAGCCTTAATGCAGGTCCTGCTGAACAGTCCTCTTTGGGCTTGGCAGATAGCAAGGGAGATTCATCTAGAGATGGCCTTGAAGAAGGAAGAATGTCTCACTTGGGTGGCTGTTCATTTGTGGGCACACAATTACCTTCCCAGAAAAGCCAAAATGAAGCAGGAGAGGGATCAGTGTCTAATAATAACCACCTTCTGAGTTCTCAGTGTGTCACAGAGGATGAACGGTTTACAAGTCTGAATGAGGAAGATGCAGTGAAGACTAAAGTGGAGGAGGAGGAGGAGGAGGAGGAGGAGGGTGCAAGGGCAAGTCTTGTAGCAAACATTCCTTTGGCTGAAACAAAGAGGGATTTTGATCAAAGTCCTATGCAGATGGGATCATTGAATGATTACTGGAAGCCTTGTGGTACATTTTCTGAGGGTTCCTCCTATGCGATAAACCAGCAAAAATGTCTTATACGTGTTGACCAACAAGAACTGGAATCTGATAGAGTTGAGCCTGAGAGCCTGGAAAATTATTTAGAGGTGAAATCCCAAGGAACTGATTTCAGGAAAAACGTTCTTGAAGACTCTCTTACACAAGACAGTGCTTCTGAGGAAGCCTGTGAACCAGAAGCTGCTGTTGAACAGATCAGTCTGCCTGTACCAGAAGAATGTGGGCAAGGTGTTATTTTTCCTGTGGAGAGTGGTTGGTCTAGACAAACTGCTGAGAATTCCCACTGCAATAAGGAAAGAAGTAATACTTGGCTATCCCTCCCAAGGCTTGTCATTCTGCAGCCTGGGAACGTTGCTGTGAACCTCCCAAGGGAAACACAGGATGACTCTGTTGAGTTGCCTGGTGGTGATGAATTCCATTTTCGCATTTCTACTTCTGAAGCTGAAAAAGAAGAGAAGGGCCAATGCAGTCCCTTCAAGGCAGATGGTCTTCATAGAAGGGAAACTTTATTGTTCAGTCCACTTGAACATACAGTTAATGTGTCTGAGAGCAGCGAAGCATTTAGGAAACTAACTGAGGAATCAACCATCCAAAGGCCAAGTGATCTAGCCATTCAAGAAGCCAGTGTTGGGCCATTGAAGGATACAGAACATACAGTTAATGTGTCTGAGAGCAGCGAAGCATTTAGGAAACTAACTGAGGAATCAACCATCCAAAGGCCAAGTGATCTAGCCATTCAAGAAGCCAGTGTTGGGCCATTGAAGGATACAGAGATGTTGAATGTGAACATGGAAGGACAAAACTCCCATCATGACCAAGACAATACTGTAAGAGCTATGCTTCTAGCAGCAATGGCAGATGTTGAAACACCCTCCCTTTCAGCAAAGAGTAGGCAAACAGCATCAGAAGCACTGGAGGATCAAGGTAGTGAGGAAATGGAACTTGATCCTGTAAAGGTGGCTGGTCAGCTTGCAAACTCTCCTTATGAATCAGCAGAGGGTACCAGAGTTGTCAAAGTCCTATATAATGCTGATGGCTTCATAGAAAACACTGGTCAGGATTTTGTCCAAGACAATTGGCCCGTGAGAAGCAGACTTCCTAGGCAGCCAGGCACAGCAGCTGTGGCTTCACCTCTTGGAGAAGCAGTTAAAGAGTGTCCAGGAAGTGAGATGTCCAGCAGTCTCTATTCAGGAAAAGATGAATGCCCTGAGAATACAGAAGTGGAAGTGCTAGCAGACTTGCATCAAGATATCCAAATACTGCCATGCCAAGAAAACAGTTGCCAACTGGGAAGTGGTCCAGATCCCTCTGTAGAATATAATGGGGGGTTAGGACGCTTGGAGCCCTGCAAGATCCTTTTGCAGGAGGAAGAGGAATTGAACAGCTCTTCCTCTAGAAAAAGACATCTCAACAAAAACGAGATATTAGATTTGGAAGATTATTCCTGCTGTCAAAAGAAGCTCTGCCTGGTGAATTTTGTTTCAGTTCAGGGGTCTGCATGTGATCAAGCTGCATCTCCTGTGGCACTTCCTCCTCCTTCTCCTGATTTGAAGAATATTGTTGACCAATTTGGCAAAATGATAGAGAAGTTCCTTGATCAGTACAGAAACCATATCCCTCTGTGCTCTGACAATACAAAAAGAAATGGAGATAATATTGCTCAAATAGTGAGAAATTACTTTAAAAGCAACATTTACTCCAGTGAACCAGTGACTGAAAATAAAAAAACAGAAATGCTTGCACTGTCTTCAGAAACTGCCAGTGTCATCAAAGACATAGACTGCCAGTCTGAGGGAGGTATAGTAGAAGCTGGAGAAAGCATGGGCTGTGATGGGCCCAGTTCACCCAGAGTTCAGGGAAAGGATGTCCAGATCCCTGATGACGAGTATTTGTCCCCTGGAGGTCAGTCAGCTTGGTCAGGCTCTCTCACCCAAGAACAAGGCAAATACTCAGCAGACCGCCTGCAGGAACCCTGTTTCTCTGAGGAAGAATCCTTCCCATTGGGAGTAGGTTCAAGCACCGGCTTTCCTGCTGAGTCTCAAAATGCAGTATATACAGAAGAGAACGTGGACACCTCTTCTTCTCTGGACATCACCACTAGTTCTGAAGGCCGTGAACCTTCTCCCAGTCCACACAGGAGGAATTCTGACAGATTCCAGAAAGGGGCTTCTGAAACAGCTGGCATGGTCTCTGAAGCCAGCGCAGAGTGGGATTGTTTCTCTGATGCAGACTGGTGCAGCCAAGCCTCAAGGACGCCTCCAGACACAGCCACATCATGTGAGGAAAACAGCCAGGCTCCCCCAAGGGACACAGGGCCTGACTCTGTCTGTCCCCTGGCCCTCACTCAGTCTGAGCAGGGTGCTCCAGGCCTTTGGCTAAAGGGTGGTCAACTTGATGGAGGAGACAAAGTTGATGAAGCTTCCAGCAGAAAGGATCCAGGGGAGGCCTGCGCCACTAATGAAGAGTCACCTGATGGTAATCAGAGTAGGGTGCAGATGGAAGAAGGTGTTTTCCTGCAAAGCAGCCCCGTAGGCTCTCCTCACCAAGGTAATTGCAAAAAGCACGTTTTGTTTTATAACCGGTTTAACTGTCCAGCCCTTCCCCGTCTTTGGATTCGCATGCTGGGAAGGGCGCTTCTAACCACCATGTCTAGTTGCTGGGCTGAACAAGTTTATCGTCCAGGGTGATGGAACATGCTCCGCTTGGGCATCGCAGGAGACGGTGTGGCCAAAGCAGTCGTAGCCAGAAGGCTACCTCCTCGTGTTGTGTTCTCTGCGAACCCGGGAGGAGCAGGCATGTTCATCAGAGCAGTTCCCCTGCCCCGCTCGACCAGCAGACCTTGATGTGGCTCTTCCTTTCGCTGCTTCTCCCAGTCAAGACTCGCTTGGTTTTGCTGAGGGAGGGCAGAGGAATTTCACGTGCTTGCATTACCTGCGCTGTCACTGCTAGGACGTACCACCCCAACCGGAACACTTGATCTCCCAAATACACCAGCAATACCTGACTTATTTTTTTCTGAATTCTTTTAAGCTTTAAAGGTTGCGCCAGTGTAAAATACATGCATAGCTCAGGGTTGAACTGCTGGATTCTGGGTGTTCTCTGAGTTTGTTTCCCTTCTTGCAGACATTTCATTACCAAGCCAGGTAACTTCATCAGTGCAGCAAGGAGTGGGGTTTGCTGGCTGTTTCTCTGTAGCAGGTTGTCCTACCTGCCTTGGTTAGGGTATTGTTTCTTCCTTGATGGTTCTCATTCGTCTGACACTGGTTCCTGCTCACCTGGGTACCGGTTAATACACTTGTGACGAGGAAGGTTGTGGTTTAAAAGCAAGAGCCCAACAGACCTTACAGGGTCTGATTTGAAAAACAGCAGACGGGAGAGATAACATTCCTGAAGCCAGAAAAATGGGAGGGGAAAGAAAGAGATTTCGTATGTTCTCCAGAAAAGAAGCTGTTGATTCCTCTTTCCATCAAAGTGGTGAGTTTCAAACCACCAGGGAAGAGTGCGTGTGCCCTTGGCCTTGGGGCAGCCCATTGCTGGTTGCTTAGTTTGTTCAGCGGTTAGCCTTGGAGGCGGTGGCACGCCTCTGACTTTGTGGGGGGCTGAGGAGTGGTTTCCCGCTGAGAAACACTCTCACGTTAGCTTGCTATTCCCTCTCTTTCAGGCAGGTAGACACCGAGGAAAGGGGGGGAGGGAGATGTATCTCCAGATGCTTCGTGTTACTTTCTCTGGCAAATTTGACTTTTTTTCAATTTTTAAAAATATTTCCACAGATAATATGGAAAGTGCACCTGCCGTGGGTGAGCTATTCCCCCGCTCTCCATGGAAATTCAACAGCAAAGCACTTCTGCAGTCAAGTGTGGGTCATTCTGATCCACCACTGAAAACAGAGCTGCCTTGTGAGGAACACGATTGCCAAGATGGTGGCAGAAATGGGTCTCCCTCTCCTTCAGGAACAACTTCTGTTGCCTCTGCTGTGGCTTCTGCGCAAGGGGATGACAGTCCTAAGGGCCCTTCCACCTCTCGCCACAGTCCAGCTCCTGCGAAGGGGTCCAGTTTGCTCCCGGCGAAGGAGGGATCTGCACGGGCAAATGAGCACCTTCAGAACAAGGGGGCTGGATCCTCTCTCTCTCCTCTCTCCTCCTCCCAGGCTGGCAGTCCTGCTGGAAGGGCTGTCGATGCTGGCAAGAGGGGCTCTGTTCTTGAGAAGGACTTGTGCAGGCCTGGCAGTGGAGCAGGACATGTTGGCTCCCACCAGGCCTCCCAGGAAGCTCCATGGATCCCAGGGACATCTGACTGTTTCCCAGCCCCTGTTGTCTGCAGTGATCAAGGACCTTGCAGCCCCTTGCCATTGCAGAGTAATGGGTCTAACCTGGCACAGGGTCACTCGGGAGACACATTGCTTCATTCTCAGGTTTTCCAGGAAGAAAAGGACCTGGGTGAGTTGGAAGACCAGCTTTGTCCTCACATATTGCGTCCCACATCTTGTTCTCCAGTTCCCTCGGTCTCCCATCATTCCCTTGTTCCCAAGGCCTCAGCAGACAAACTGCCAGAAAGACCTACATATCCTGCAGTTTTTGGATGCAGAGACCCTTGGCTTCCCTATCCGTTAGAGGAGGCTGGACTGGCTGAACCTTCAGACTCAGAGTGTCTGCGTGTGGCAGATGCCGTGTTGTGTCCTGCCGCACCAAAGGTTGAGGAAGGCAACTTCACCTCGAGAGACCATCCTGCTCCGAGAGAGTCCCAGAGCAGCTGCTTCCGTGAAAGAGCAGAGAGCCGCAGCCCGCTGGAGTGGGCGTCATCCGAGCAAGACATTGTGTTTCAGTTGCAGGAGTGCCAGTTGGTGCTGGGAGAAATCGCGCAGTCCTTGAGTTCAAGAGAAGGCATCGACAACGCGCATGTGGAGAAGTGGAGGTATTTTCCCCCTCTCCTTCTGTTGGGCAAGATTGAGCAGTAGCTGTTTCATCAGATTGTTGGCTTAATTTTTTATTGTTCTTGCTTTTAAAAAATAAGCCACCCAGAATTGTTTGGAGTCAGGCAGCCTCTAAATTATATAAACAAACAAATCCTCACAAATGTTAGGAAGTCATTGAAGCTTCCTGGGTATGTTTGGCATCCCTTCCAGTCCAAGCACCGACTCTACCTGCCCATGCAAGTCCAGTGCTTGCTCTGCCCAAAACTCTCTACTATAGAGCGGGAGGAAGAGTTGTGCGTCTTCGAGAACAAGCAAGTGATTCTACTCGGTGCTCAACTAAGAGTTCTGATTACGTCTGGGTCTCAAGCATTTGTAATGCCTTAAGGAAATAATTTTTTCACTTGAGGGAGTTTGGAGTTTGCTTCAATGGAGAGCCCTTCCAGCTGGCAGGCCTCTTATGGTCCAATTCTGGCACCTGTTCGCCAAGGCGTGCTGCTCTGGCCTTTGGGGAGCAGATCCAACAGAGGGCATTACTTTCCTCTGTGTTCCCTTCGGTTGCAGTTGCTGCACCTGGAGAGGGGGTTAAGGGTGAAGATCTGGCCCAGTTGGGCCAGAGAATGGCTGGCGGGCAGGGGGCCCATCCTGCAGCACAAACCGCTCGCCACCATTAAAAGAAGGTTTAGGACAGTCTAGTCCAACTTGGCATCCTTCAGGTGTGTTAGAATTGCATCTCCCAGCCAGCAGCTCTGTGGTCAGGCCCTGCTGCCAGAAATGTTGGGTGCTGAAGTCCCAGTGCATCTGGGGAGAGAAGACACTGAGGAAGGACAGAGTAGGCTAAGAGTAAGGAGATGCGGGATACTAGTGTTATCATCAGGTCCACCAAAAATGGATACTAAGCCAATGATGCCAGCGCATCGCTTGATCCTCCCTTTTCCTCCTCTCATCCAAGGGGCCAGATTGCAGTTCTCCAGAAGGCGACAGAAATGCCGCGAACGCACATAGCCGTGGTGGGGAACACAGGGGCAGGCAAGAGCTGCTTGCTCAACGCTCTGCTGGACGAGGAGGCCATGCTGCCTACTTCGGCCATGAGAGCCTGCACAGCCGTGGTCGTCGAGATCTCCAGGGCTGCCGAGGGCAGTCCGTATGAAGCAGATGTGGAATTCCTCTCCCAGGAGGTAGGCCGCCGTGCTTTCTTGGGGTGGCACCAACTCGGCAGTGGCCCTCGGCTCTGAAGAATTCGGAGGGAGCAAGTGAGCGCCGGAGGAAGTCCCTGCGCTTCGCCTTGGGCTCAGCCATGGTTTTTCAAGCTGCAGAGAGGACGTCTCAGGCGCCCTTCTCTGAAGCGGGACTCTTTCTTCTGTCCCTGCTCTTGTCTCGCCCTCCAGGAATGGGACAAGGAGCTAACAGCACTCCTGGAAGACATGAAGGACAAAGCTGGCGTTTTGAAAAAACGGTGTCCGGATCGCAAGACGGAAGCTGGGGCTGCCTACAGCCGGGTGAAGGCTGTCTACGGGAGAGTGGAGGAGCTTGAGAAGCTGAAGGGCAGGCAGGAAGTGACCCAGCACCTTGGGACCGTGAAGCGCGTCTGTGCTGACACGGTGAGCAGGGCTGCTGCCGGGGCTCCCCTTGGGGATCTGGACACTCAGGCGGGCTTTGCGGGAGCAGCAGCGTCGCGTGGCAGGTTGGAACTGCTGGTGTCCTTTTATTTTTTTATGCTTTTGTTATGTGACTCCTGTGCCCCTTCAGTCCAGCCAGTTCTAAGTGGTTCAGAGTCTGGGAAAAGAATCAGAACTGAAAAATGCTGCTTTAAAAACGCGTCGACCCTTCCAGGAATTTAATCCCATTGTACCCACAGGGCCTTCTCACTCCCAGGACAAGCACACTCCCAGTTCCCTTCTCCCCTCCGTCCTTAACAGCTCCGTGCAAAAGCCAGATCTCCATCAGCCTCCTGAACGTTGCAAGAAACGAAGTGTCTGTTCCCCAGGAGAGGAGCCCCACAGAGGTGGCCCCTCTCCCTGGACCTCCCAATAGGAGGAACTCTCAGCATCTCTTCCCTCTTTGCCCACACAGGACGGGCAGCCCCTGCCATTCTCAGGCAACGCGCGTAGTGCTTGATAGGCGAAAATTAGCCCCTTGAATTGTACCTGGAAACAACGAGGCCCAGCTCCCACAGCAAAGACGCAGTGTGACAAAAGCAGTTTTTTCCTAGAACCAAATGGGAATTGCGTCCTGTATCGGTTGAAGCTTCCGGAAGGTGTTCCGGGGCAGCCCCAGCTTGAGTGAATTACAGCATTCCCGGCATGAAGTGACGCGGGTGTAAGCGACTCATCGCCGGTGTCTCCCGGTCCACAAAAGCCCGGAGCAGCGCAGCGCAGCCCCGTTCAGAGCTGAGGCTGTTCTACCCCTGGCATCAGCCCGCTTCTGGATCAGTGGCTGCCGGGCCTTCCCAGAACGGAGCCTGGCAGCCTGTAGGCGCTTCTGCTGCGTCTCCCGTTGGGCCCGGGTGGATCACACCGCGCCCCCAGCCGCCAGCGGTTCACGCAGACGTGAAATGAAATGGGAAGGGCCGGGCCTCGGAGCACCCTGTGCCAAACGGCCGCGGACTTAGTCCCTCCTTCCGCACAACCGTTGATTGGACTTGCCCGGTCCGGAGGAAGTGGCGCCACCGTGGAGTGGAGCTCCCTCCCAGGCCCTCCCGGGTGGCCCTCCCAAGGGCCCCGCAGTTTCCCGCTGGCTGAGGAGAGTTCTGCTTCCTTCGTTCAAGTCCCGCCGTAGTTAATCCCCGAGAGTGACCGTTGTGGTTCCTCAGCCGCGTCCAGGCTGGAACACAAATACAAAAGGGTGGTTTTGTACTGAGCTGCTTAAACTGTTATTAAACTGAACTACCTTTACAGTCAATGCTTGTCTTTGAAAAGTCTAAAACTTAAAACCTAATTTTCCTGCTGGCTTTCTAGGCAGCAGACTTCCGTATGAGTATTGAGAAATTTATCGATTCTCGTACTGACAATTTGCGCGAGATGAAAGGCGGGGAGTTTTGGCCGATTGTGAAATGCGTGAGGATCCGCGTTGCAAAGGCTGAGATTCTGAGGACCGGAGCGGTGCTGGTGGACCTGCCTGGAATCCGAGACTCCAACGCAGCCCGGGACGCGACCGCCCGAGGGGTAGGCTGCCTCTTCCTGCCTTTCCTCTGCGCCAGGACGGGCCGTGCTTCTGGCCTCAGCTTTGTCCCCGCGTGCTTTTGAGCCCAGAGGAGGGCCACGGCTGCCTGGCATTTTTCCTTAGAGAGCCCTGGAGGCTGTATTAGTTAATTTGGGTGTAGCCAAGCCAGGAATCCTGGACCTGTTGGCAAAATGGCTGCTTCCCTTTTCCCCAGTACCTCAAGGACTGCAATGCCGTGTGGGTCACCGCCAGCATCACGCGCGCCGTGGATGACAAAACAGCCAAAGAGCTGCTGAGCGCCAGCTTTCGCCGACAGCTGTTTATGGACGGCCTGTACGGGAGCCTGGCTTTCATCTGTACCAAGACCGACAGCTTTAACATAACGGACATCGTCAGGTAGCCTCTCTCTGCGTGGGCAGGGATTCTGTGGGGGGGACGCATCTGAGCCCTCCCCCCCCCGGCCCAAGGGTACTTCCAGCCGAATCCTGCTCTTGCCCTGTAAATGGTGCCTCCTGCGTAAAATCCCAGCAGGGTTACCCAGCAATTCCAGGGGGATGACCTGCTGTTCTGCTGCTCCCTGAGGCTGTTGGCTGAGCACAGGGTGCCTAAGGGGACAGGGTGGTTGGAAAGCCTGGGATTCTGATCATCCCATTTGCACTGCTGGAAAGCTGTGCCCCGTAAAGCAGAATTCAGCAGCCACGCAGCTCTCAGAAGCACTCTTTACTCTGAATGTTGCAGAGACCTTGACTTACAAGATCAGATTTGTCCGCTAGAAGATGAATTGAGAGACCTGGAAAATCAGAAAATGCAAGCAGAAATAGAGAAGAAACACCTTTATTCACAACTGCAGCAAGAGGTCTGTAAATCACCCTCTTCTTATCCCTCCCTCCCTCCCGGGTCAGGGTGCCAGCCGCGCTGAGATACGGCCGGTGAACAGAAACAAGGGGGCTCGCCGGGCGCTGGCACCTGGCGGGTTCTTCCCCCGCCGCCACTCGGGGTCAGTGCAACGCGGCTTGCCGTGAATGTTTTCTTACAAGGGCACTTCCAGCGGTTCACGTGTATTGGGGGGGGGCATCTCATAGGTTTGGTAGTGAATGCAGGTCACATGTATGGGGAGAGGTGCCTTTTACCACCACAAGAGAAACGCACTTTCTGAGCCCCAAGAATTCTGCTTCCAGCTACAGATAACGCTTCCTGAGCAGTCGCCGAGGGAGGGAAGCGAGGCCGCAAATTCAGCCTGGCTCCAGAGACATGACATCTTGGAGAAGGAATTCAGGGTAAGTCTCCCCGCCTCTGGCCTCTGGGCCGCCTCATCTTAAGGAGGTGAACGTCAAAAGCCCCAGCGATTTTCCTCCCCCAAATCAGCAGATGGGCCAGGCGGTCCTCAGTTTCTCCCTCTGTCCTCCCCCGTCTAGATTTGTGCCTTGCAGAGAGAGAAAGAAGCAAAGCTTCGAGCCATCAGTCTGATCTGCGTTCAGGCCCGGAATGAATTTTCCAAGCAGAGGATTTTGATGGATTTCAGCGCTGGTCTGGAGGTAGGCCGGCACCTTGCCGGACCCAAGGAGGATTTGCCACCCGGCGTTTTCATTGAATGTTTCGCTGTGGCTGTTGCAGCTCTGCAGCAGCCTTGTTGGGGGAGGAATCTTATCCCCTGAAAGCAGAGGGATCTGTGGGTAAGAGCAGGGCACGTGTGGTCTTGTGCAGGAAGTGTCCAGGAGGGCCTCCTATCCTGAAAGCGAAGAAGATGGCGAAGAAGAGATGGAGGGCGGAGACTCTGCGGGCGCCCAGCCCGGGGAGCTGCACGTTTTCACAGTCAGCTCTGCAGAGTATCTCAAGCTTGGTGGGAAGTTGCTCTGCAACGGTCAGCCTCAAGTCTTCCATGACGTCAAGGACACAGGTATTGGCACCAGACGGGCCCTGGGGCGCGACTGCATGGCCGCTAGTGTGTGGCTGGCAGAGGGGTTGCTAGGGGTCGTTGCATCACAGTCCTGAACCTGTCTGTTGCGTGGTCGTTTCCTTTACGATGCCTGGGGCTGACTCTGAAGTAGGTAGAGAAGTGCAGTGAAATAATCGGTTAGGTTGCTAGAGCTTCTGCTTTGAGCCTTTGCAAGTTTCTTCCTTGGATTTAGCAGGTGGTTACTCTTCCTTCTTCACAAGGCAGGAAACACACCTGGATTTGCACAAGATGCTAGAGTAGACTAAAATGGATTTATTTTGACAATACAAGACGAGCAGAAAAAGCATATAACAGTACAGTATTAACAAAACGTAGCATCACGCTTTTCAGAAAAAGAGGAAGGGCCTGGATAGGTTATCCTGCAAGCAGAACAGCTCCAAGAAGTTTGACCAGATTGCTCTCAATTCCTCTTCCTTGCCCTCTTCAGGAAACAAAATACTATGGACATCAGCGATATACTGCTATTGGTCAGGAGTAAATTTATACTTCCGGTGCTGTATAATAATATTTTGGCGATTCCCCTTGCCCAAACATTTAATTTAGCTTAATAATCCAGTTTTGGGGCTGCCTGTCCCTGTAACGGCTTTGGGCAGCTTTCAGTGAAGTCATGTTCTAAAATATCATGTATCAAAGAAAATAAGAGGCAGCTGACTAGAAGACCTATGACAGGACCCCTCCCCCAAAAAGCAAGCCAAAAGCCCAGAGGGCCTCAAGCAGCCACCCTGCCCAAAGGCCTGGGAGAATTTGTGAACGATCAGCAGAGTGCAGATCTCATTCCCAAGGGCAGAATGCCATCGCCGAGAAGGCCTTCTTCTTCTTAACCGACAGGACCCGGAGCGTGCCCACTCCAGCTGACCAGTCCAGCAGGCCAAAGCTTACGAAGACAGGCATAGCCAGGCCTTACCCCACGAAGGGCTTTATAGGTCATAACCCAGTGCAGCTTGTGAAGCAGCAGTGGCTCTTGTGCGTGCCATGACACGCCCATCGCTGCCCATGTGGTACCCTCCGAGAAGTCCTCAAGGGCAGCGCCCTGTAGAGTGCATTACAGTAGTCCAGCTGACCAAGGCATAAGTAGCTGTCTGAAGACTCTCAGGGTGCAGGAGCAGGCACACCGGATGTAGCTGTGCAAAGGCCTTCTGGGGCAAGCTGCCACCAGTTCTTCAGTCAGGAACTGTGAGTCCAGGAGGACCCCCAGATTGCACACCTGTCTTGCCTGGGGAAGCGAAACGCCCTTAAAGTCTAAAGATGGACAATCCCCAGAATCAGGGGGGCCAAACAAACAAGGCCACTCAGCCTTGTCAGGATTGAGCCGGAGTCTCTTCCTCCCCATCCAGGCCTGCAGAGCCTCCGGGCACCGAGCCAGGACTTTGACTGCATCACTTGCTCGGCCCGGGGTCAAAATGTATAGTTAGGTATCATCGGCATACTGATCGTACCTAGCCCCAAACCAACGGAGGACCCCACCCGGCAGTTTCACGTAGGTTTGCAGTGGTTCTCCTCGTTCCAGCTGGTGGGACAGGCTGAGCTCTAGGGAGCTCCATTGCAGGTTGCCAGAGGACTTGGTCCTCTCTCCTCTGCTGCTGAACATCTGCATCAAACTTCTGGGAGAAGTAACTGATTACACATGGTTAGGGGCTGGGCAGGAAACGCGGTGGAGGACCTGGCTTGGAGCCTGGACTCTGTGAGGCCTGGATGGAGAGTAACAGGCATAGACGCAATCCCAGCAAGAGGGTTCAGAAGCCGGCAGTTCGTCTTGGACTCTGCGGGGCATGGCGCTTTCGGAGACGGAGCTGGCCCACAATTTGGGGGTCCAGGTCTCACAGCTGTTCAGAAGATATTCAGAAGGTGTTTCAGAGGAGTGCCTGAAGGTTTTGCTGCCGGAGTGGTGATACATCAGGGCCTTCTACATCATTATATTTTTCATGTTCTTTGTTTTAATATTATTTTGCTAATTGTGAGCTACTCAGTCTTCTGAACTGGAGCAGCGTATAAGCCAAAATAACAAATAAATAATAATCCTTATCATTCAGCAGAAAAGCGTTCAAAAACAATTTGAAGAATGTGTGCAAATTACAATTAGGTAAGGCTACATTTTTAACAAAACAGAGTCTGAATTAGCATTGATGTCACATCTTTGAATTGCTTTTAATTTGTTTTTTATTGTTTGCCAGATGCCTAGAATCATCTGCAAGTGGGCAGCCTTATAAATTCAAATAATAAATCATCTGTACTGCATACCAAGGAGTTAGGCAATAATTAAGAACAATTTCTGGTACAGACAAAAGGAAAGCGTGCTCGCATTGGGACACAAATAAAGCACCAAATATCCACAGATTAAATGTGGAGCCTTGATGCTCTCTGAGCTTGGTGGCTTCCTTGCAGGCATTTCATTACCCAGCCAGGTCACATCATCAGTGTGAGGGAGGTGGGGCTTGCTTTCTACAGTAGCTTGCCCTGCCGGTGTTGGTGGGGTGCAGTTTTCTCCTTGCACTTTCTTGATTAGGGTGTTGCTTTCTGCTTCATTGTTTGTCCGGTGTCAATCCCCGCTTAACTGGATGTTGGCTGCTGGAAGGGATGCGTTCCGGTCTTTTCGTTTCTTTCTTCGCTTTCTTATTGTCTCTTTTGAATGGTGTGTAAACGCGGTTTGTCTCTATGTGTCTGCTGATGGCTGATTTGTCTGAGTGCCAAGCTCCCAGGCGGAATCAGGCAGAAAATCAGGCAGAAAACAAGGAGCTACCAAGGAGAAAAGTGCACCCCCACCCCCACTGGCAGGGCAAACTACTGCATGTCAACAGGGCGCAGACCCCACCCTCCCGCGCACTGATGATGTGACCGAGTCGGGTAATGAAACGTCTGCAAGCAAACAGCCACGCGCAGAGAGCACCGAGGACTCCACATTCCAACTCTGAGCTACGTATATTTTCTTCTTTTGGAACTAGATTAAATTTCCGCATAGAACTTTGCATAATATTATCAACCCAAAAATATCAGACGGGATGTATCAATGGGCTTCTCATGATCTTCCAAATGCAGCTTCCTTCAGTAGAAATGATGCATCGGCCTGTTTCGTAGAGGGCGTTACGGTATTTGGAACCGTAACTTTTCCATGGGCTGTAAGGTTGGCAGAAGAGCTTGGGAGAACGACTCCACTCACTCCCTTTCCTTCCTCCGTCCAGAAATTCCTGCTTTGAAGAAATTTGCTATTGACACAGCGCTGAAGCACAGCATGGTGGCCACAGAGAAGGTCATCCGGGATGTGGCTTGTGTTCTAAGTCAAATGGTGAATTATCTCACCAGCCAGAGAGCCGAGGTAGGAGCAGCTTTGAGAGGCTCCCTTCCGGTAGAAGGTCGGCAGTCCAGATCGTGGCTGGCACGGGCGCTCAGCAAGCGAGGCCTGTGTCTTTCCTTATCCCAGCCTGAAAGCTTCTCTGGCACCGCCTGCTCATCTCTCAGCCCCGCCACACTTACGCTCCCTGTGGCTTTCTGCTGGCAGCGGAGGAAAGCTCGACTTGCACTGGGGCTGCCATGCTAGAAAAGGAGCTAGGAAGGGGTGGCGGGGGGGCATTTCTTCTTGGTTCCCTTGAAATTAGAGGTGCATCGAAGGTAGATGGTGGCACGACAAGCAGTTAAGACCCTGCTGTTAGATCAGGGATCCGGTGGGCCTGTATTAGGGTTGGAAGAAATAAGCTATGCTTTGTCAGTCTGGGGAGGCAGCTTAGGAGCGGGGAGTCCAGATTACGGGAAATAATGGTTTCACTGCCCCGTCAGACCCATTTGGAGTCCTGTGTCCAATTCTGGGCACCGCAAATGGAAAAAGGACGGGGACAGATTGGGGCAAGGTCGAAGAGGACCATCAAGGTGGTGAAAGGTCCAGTTCGTTGCAGCCGAAGCCTCCCTCGATTCGGCTGCTGGAAATTGCAGTAAGGTTCTCCTTAGCTTGACAGCCAGCGTCTAATCTCAGGGGCTGGGGAAGAGGGGACTTTCAGCAGGCACCGGGTCTTCCTCTCCTCCTCGCAAGGCAAAGCTCCCTTTGTCCTGGGTGTGAAGCTGCATCCTGGTCCAGGTGCGTGTGGTGGCGTTTCAGAAAGCCATCTTCACCTCGGGAGCAAAAAGATGACTCGTTGACTTGGAAGCCATGTTTTACAAAAGCGGGGACGGGGAGATGTCACCGCAGAGAATGGCTGCCACCCCGCAGGGGCTGGCGTTGTCCCGCTGCTCTGGGCTGTCGCTTGCAGGGGGCTCTTCTGTTAGGGCTGTTGCTCACTAAGGCGCTGCCGTTCCCAGCTTCGTCCCTTCCTTCTTGTCCAGGACGATGCCCACCAGGCCCAGGTCCAGGAGATCCTGCAGCAGGCCTTGCAGGGCCTTCCTGCTCTCCTCCGAGAGGCCCTCAGGGGCAGCCTCCAAGACATGCGGCACTACTTTGAGGCCCTCATCCTTGCCAGCCTGCAGAATGGTGCCGAGAAGGCCAAGCAGCTGTCGGAAACCATTGTCAAAAGCTGGGGCTTGCCGGTAAGTACTTCCTCGCCTTCAAATGCTGTCTGTGTTTGGAGCCCACCTTTCTTCGGGGATGCAGCCCCCTCCCAAGAAACTACACTGAAGTAGCCGGCATAAGCTGCTCTTTCAAAACACGAGGAAAAGCGCTGCGGCTTCCCAAACGGTGATCTTGGAGGGCATCTAGATGACCTCAAAGAAAAGCTGAATGATGACCTAGAGTAGATTCCTGTCAGGCCCAGCCCAAGAACAACGATGAGACAGCTCAGTCCAGTCCAGTTCCTTTACTCGGCAGACAGATCTTGCCAGACTAAACCTATGCTAAAGCCACTAGTGGATATACCCCGCGAGACTCCAGGGAGGGGCCAGCCTCCTCCTCCTCCTCCTCTTCTTCTCACACTCTTGCTGCGGGCTGAGAAGACGCTTGCCCCGTGCCCGCTCTGGAATGCCCTCCCTCCCTCCGGGTAGCCTTGACCCTCCATTCCAGCATCCTCCTTGCACATGCCTTCCATTACATCTCCGCACAGAGCTGGGAGGACATGATTCCAACCGGGAGTCCCTTCCAACTCTTGGGAGTCTGTGGTTTTAATAAATCTGGCCAGCTTAGAAAGGCCACTGGTGAGGCGGGAGAGGGCTGCGCCCTTCCTGCTATTCATGTTTTTTTAATTTATTTTTACTTATTTACCACATTTGTATAGCCACCCATCTCACATAGTGACTCTGGGCGGCAGACAGTAAAACCTACAATTAAAACATACTACAAAGCCAATGAAAAAATAGCCACCCATCTCACATAGTGACTCTGGGCGGCAGACAGTAAAACCTACAATTAAAACATACTACAAAGCCAATGAAAAACTATTAAAACAGTAAACAAAAATAAAAGCAAGGCCACAAGCGGGAGAATATTACACACGATGCAGCCAACACGTGGGCTCTCTATTACCAGGGGCTCCCCAAGCTCGTTAAAGAAAACACGTTTTAAGGACTGTCCAGAAGGTTGGGGCCAACCTCACCTCGGGAGGGATGATGTTCCAGAGAGCGGGTGCCACGGCAGGAAAGGCTCGCCTCCTGGGTCCCGTCAGATGGAACTCGTTCGCAGACGGGACCCGCAGCATGCCTCTCCTGCCGGACCTGATGGGACGGGTAGATGTAATCGGGAAGAGGCGGTCCCTCAGATAACCTGGCCCCGTGCCATGTAGGCCTTTAAAGGTCATAACCAGCCCCTTGAACTGGTGCACGAAGCAGACTGGCAACCAATGCAGCTCACGGCAGAGGTGTAACATGTGCAGTCCTTGGAGCACACATAGCTGCCCACACAGCTGCATTTTGCACCAGCTGAAGCTTCCAGATGCTCTAGGGCAGCCCCATGTAGAGCGCATTACAGTGTCTGTTCGGTAGATGACTAGGGCATGAGTGACTGAGAGCTCCACAACTGCCTGTGTTGACAGGCCAACAGTGGCATATTCATGGAGATGTTCTCCTGAATTTGTCTTGTTGCCCTTTAAGCGTTTTTCTTTGATCTGTCCTGGATCTCTCATCATTCAGCTTCATTGGATTCATCTTTAATTTTCTGTCATCCCATTTGGCTCAAATTAATCAGCATGATTCCCGCTGCCTCCACCCTTAATTGGATGTGTTCAAGTAGTCATCTGCTTGAATTAACTGATTTACAAACGTGGACTTCTACGTCACTAATTTCTGCAGGTTCTAAGTGGTTTTACAGAATGCCAGATAGAGATTTAAAAAGGCTTAGATGAACATCCAGTAATGGTGCCATCCCTGGAGGAGGGCGAAACTTCCACATCTTCAGAGGCCTTCCAGGTCTTCATGACGTTTCAGAAACCCCATAAGAGGGGAGAGGGCTATCCTGGAGGAAGCTGTTTATACAGTAGAAGGAAGCCCTCAGTGAGAAGGGTTGCCCCTGGGATCCCTATAGACAGCCAAACCTCTCTTCCTGATCTCACTGGGTGCTCAGACTCAATCCAGAGACAGCAGTCTTCTATATTCAGGGTCCGAGCCACGAAGGGATTTAATGATGACACTCAGCCCCTTGAATTGCTCCAAGAAGCCAGTGCAGTTCCTGAAGTAGTGGTATTAGACAGACTTTGGTCTGCCCATAATTACCCAGGCAGCTTGGAGGTTCCAGCTGATCTGCAAGGGCAGCCCTATGTAGAGTGCACTACAGGTGTCCAGTTGCAAGGTGAAGATGGTCCTGAGTGTCCATGCATAACACTTCTTGATCCAGAAATGGCTGCAAGTGGTGCTCAGGTTGTAATTGTATAAAAACTCTCCTGGCCACAGCCTCCACTTGCTGCTCCAGCCAGAGTCATGAGTCCAGAAGAATCTCCAAACCAAACCCAGCTCCACACAGGGAGGCATGTCTAGAGTCAAAGATGGAATATTTCCAGATTCAGTAGCCTTCAAATCCACAGCCAGTTCATCTCCTTAGGATTTAACCTGACCCTGTTTTTCCCCATCCAGACCCAAACGGCCTCGAGTGGTCAGGACTTCTTCCACATCAGCTGTTTGCCAGAGTTAGAGATGTATAACTGGATATCATCCACATATTGATGATATCTCACCCCGTGTCAACTGAAGACCTCTCCCAGCAGTTTCTTGCTATTAAACAGCAAGGGGGAAAGGGCCAACCCTTGCAGCTCTGGAGCTCCCATAGATTCAGTCTCCCCATGTACTGTCATCAATGGAAACTGGCCTCTCTGGAAGGAGAAGAACCATGGTAAAATGGTGCCTCCCACTCCCAGTACTTAACTACTATGGTCAGTGATACCAAAAGCTGCCCGGAGGGGTCCCCTTGTTCATATCCCCTTCACACCATGCAGTTTCTGGATCCTGACTAAGGCCTCCAGGATCCTCTGGAGCTGCCAGCAGTCTTCACCCAAAAGGGGAGGTTGGAGACAAGGTGGTAGTTGTCTAAAATAGCTGGGTCAGATGATGGCTTCTTGAGAAGGAGATGTACCATCACCTCTTTCAAGGCTAGAGGCAAATACCACCCCCTCAAGAATGCATTTGTCCCATCCCAGACCCGACCTCCTATCATTTCCCTGGCAACTTTCCCTGGCCAGGTGGTACAGGGATCAAGTGTTCAGGTGGCTGGACAAGCTGCGCAGAGTACTCTGTCCACTTCCTCAGGATCCATACGCCAGACAAAGCCCCTGTTACCTCAGCAGGACCAGCCCAGCTGATGTCCAGCTCTGAGCAGATGTGAATGATTTTAACCCCCCCAGATGCTGAGCAAATTCTTCACAATGGCCTCATAGCAGTTCTTATGTGCAGATGTGCCCAATAAAGTTTGGGTAACTTTGAACCAAGATGCTGGGGAGTTATTTGCAAGCGCAGTAACGGTGGGGACATGGGCTCGCTTCACTGCTCTTGAATTTCAGCTGTTGCCCACGTTTGATGACATTCCTTCTTTTACACTAGCATCACTCAAGGTATCTCCTGCTTCATCTCAACACTAAAGCAAGGGGTCCTTTGGAGGGGGGCGCTCAGGAGTAATCCTCTCAAGTGCCGCCAGCAGCTGTGTATTCAGCCGGTCAATCAGATACTCTGCAGAACTGCCCAAATGCGCTTGGGAACCCTGTGGGACCCATGGGTCTGTATGGCCCTTCCTCCCTGTGGACAGCTGTGGCTTTGGAAGCTACAGACTCCAGGGAGTGATCTGACCATGACAAAGGACTGGTGGAAATAGATTGTGTCTCCCTGATCCAAGACAAAACCTACCTCTAATGTTGTCTAACCCCCTGTGTGAATTAGGCCCAGGATCACTCGGAACAGTGAGCTGCGTATATTCTCCTCTCTGCACGTCTCCAGTTCCGCAATATTCTTCTGTAGTGACTGACCTGTTGTGTCGCAGATTCGTAGAGCAGTTGAATGACTATTTTTCAGATTCTTCTGCGGGATCTGGGAGTGGAAATGGCTACAGGGTGGCCCTCTTCAGGCTGCCCCAAGACCCTTTCTGCAACCCTTCACCATCAGTTCAGGCTTCCCGCGCCATTGCGTGAAATCAGGATTGGCATTTGCTGCTTTGTTATTCTTGACAAACGCCAGTTGCTTATGTGTTTTCTGTTCTGGCATAGAGCCCCGGATACAAATCTGTATCATGAGTCGGCCACAGCGATTGTGGGGTACGCTCAGGACTTCACTCTCAAAGCGGGGAGGGTGAAATGGAGTGAGTGTCTGTGACGGAGGCCTCTTCCCCTGCTCTAGGTGTTTGGCTACCCACATTCTACCTATCGTGCAATATGCAATCACCATGGCGTTTACACCTCTCCCAGATACCAGTGTGTGGATTTCAACAGACAACTTGCCGAGCCAATCCACAGGGTCATCTCTGTAGCCTGGAACGAGGTCTTTAGGTAGGTCCTCTTCACCCCAACCAGCAGGGATTCCTCCTCTGAACCCAACTCTTCGGCTGCGCGGGGACTGAGAAACTGGGTGAAAGGCCAGAGGTTGCAAGTCTCCAGCCACAGAAGCCCACTAGGTCCGCACACCCAAGCCCACCTCCTGGCCTTGGTCGTTACTGCTGCCACCCCAAAATGTACTGCTTCCAGGAAGTGTCTCGGCCATGGTCCTCCCCTAAGCCCAGCCTCAGCAACCTGCAATGCCCTTCTGCCAAACAAAAGGTAAAAGTGGAATCATTTTGATAATGCAGCCTCCTGGCCTTTTGTATAAAGGTATGTGTTTTCAGGGCTTCCTCTTCTTTTTGTGACATAAATCAATCTCAACAGAGATAAATTAAATCAAGGGTTGTTTTTTTTTTAAGAAACTCAAAAATATGATATATGATTAATATGATATATTAATGCTCTTGGCAGACCAGAGGGTAGTGCGGGTCCACTGTAATCTTGGGAGAGAAATGGCTTTCAAGTTATATATCGGCTCCCAAGAAATCGTAAAAAGAAAAGTAAATCTTGAACTCAGTCTGAAATTACACAGAATTTGGTGCTTGTGCAGAGAAATAAAAATAAGAGAAAATCAAGTTTGTAACACTCACAGGCAAAATAAATTAAATCTCAACTCATCGCCTAACTAGAATAGTTATTTATTTCTTAGGAATAACCTGAATCCCAAAGTCCTGCTTGTTTGTCTCTGGACATTCCCTAAATTCCTGAGGTGGTTCCAGCTGCTTATCAGAGCTTTGGGGAGGTGGTTGGCCCAGCAGCTTCTTGCTTCCCGTCCCCAAGTTCTGCCTTTGTCTTCCAAAGAGTAAAATTTTATTTCTGTCTTGGGCATGCGTGCGTGCATGCGTGCTAAAGCCCGTGCCTGAGTCTGAGTCTGTGTATTCAGACTTGGACGCTGTCTGGCACTTAGACTGCCAGGGAGGCTGCGGGGCGGGGCATGTGGCCTGGCCGCTCACAGCGCCAGCCTTCCCGGAAGGCAGGATGATTACGCAAACAGGCCAGGTGGTGGTCCCATAACAGAGAGGCTGCGGTCGTGAGCAGCGTTCCAGGCTACGAAATGAAAGCAAAAGGACTCGGGGGGTCGACCAGACACGCAGCTGCAAACCTGATGTGCTTGTAGCATGACCGGATGGGGTCTGCGCTGTTGGCGGGCGCTTCCACTGATGCTCTTTCCCAGCTCTGGCTCGGGGGCAGAGGAATATTTTCCTCCGTGAGAGAAGAGAGTAGTGGTGGGGAAGGGGTCCCAGGGCTGCCTCCATCCTCTCCCCTCCCGTTGCGGGATTCCACGCGAGGGCTGCTCTTTGGGTGGGTTGTCTGTGAAAGACGAGGGTCTTGGACTCCTAGTGCTGCTCTGCCCGGGGCTTTGAAGGCGATAACCCAGGAAGCTGCTTCCGCAGAACAGGTGGCAGCAGGTGGCATAGCGCCAAGCAGACTTGGTTGTCTAACGGACCTTTGCAATTCTTTTCCCTTTGGAGCTCAAGGTTGGCAAACTCCATTGAGTGCTTCACTAAAGCCCTCCTGGATAAGCTGAAGTCCTTCTTCAAAGATCTCGAGCGTAAACTGCGCCAGCACAGTCAGGTTGCTGAAGCTGTACGTGCCATTTATGGTCAGCAGATGGAAGCGGCTCGAGCGAGGGTGAGGCCGTGGGGATGGGTGGCCGGAGGACTTCCACTGGGGGCTTCGCGGCACCGTGACCTTCTGCGAAGGCAGGAGCTCAAGGGTGGAGATCACAGGAAAGGGGAGCGCCGTGAGGGTATGTTTATGGGGCGTGGGACCCTGGCAGGATCATCACGTCCCCTCTTTCTTCCCAGTTGTTTAACTTTACCCTGGACCAGACGGGTTGCATTACGAAAAAGCAGCGGATGATCTCCCGCCTCTTGACGCCAGAGATTCAGGCTAGCATGGAACCAGCATATGCAGGTAATGTATTGCAGGGGAGCTCCCGGCATCCTGTACAGCTGGGTCCCACCCAGGGCCTGCAGTGACACCTGGTGATTTACCTGGAGGACAGTCTCTCCCTGAGCTGAATTGGGTGGGAGGGCAGGGGAGACTCGACATGCCCTACGCTGGAGAAAAGCCTAGAAGCAGCCCCAAGAAAATTGTCATTTATGGTTTAGTCTCACATATAAATCCGGCTAATAATCCTTCCATAAGAAGGAAGCTGCTCGCTTTGCATCGCTGGACACACCAGGCCTGCTGTAGGTCTGGCTTTCCCTTTGCAGGGCCTGAGGGGGAAAGAACCCCAGTGTGCACGAAGGGGAAATGCTTGGGGGCATAAGTGAGTCCACAAGCTCAGGCAAGGAAACCTGGTTGCGCCTCTGAGGCAGAGAACAGCGTGGTGCATTCGCCGATCCCCCGGGGCAGGCTTAGGGACGCCAGTTGCATGACAGGGCAGGGCCAACTTGCAAAATCCCTTTGCAGTGTGCTCCCAACTTTCTGGCCCGGGATATTTCCAGAGAATGAAGGCAGTGATGGAGGAGTTCATTCACAAGCAGAAGGACACCATCTTTGATTCAGTCATAGAGAAGCTGTGGCAGCAACTTGACCTGCTCCAGGTGAGGTTACCCCATGGTTCCAAAAAATGGCCAAGCGTTTGGGTCGACTCCAGGCATCTTGCAGGGTGGGGTCCCAGCTGGACTGATGGGATGACCCCTGTGCCCCTCTCCAGTGTGCCAGCTGTGGAGAAGCGTGTGACGTCAGCAGTCTCGGGTTCCTAGTCCAGCTGCGTGAGATGGTTCATGAAGGGAAATAAGGGACAGCACCGGCGTTTCCGTGTCCCTGAATCAGCCATTTCCTCTGTGCCCGAAGGAGAGCCGCCTTCTTCAACGAGCCCATCCCAGGGCCCGGTGGGAGGTCGAAGGCGGCTCTCCCGGGTTGCCTAGGCCTTGCCCAAAGACGGCTCCGTAGAGCCTGTTACAGTTTCTGCTCCTTGAAAAACTGGTTCCTGGCATCTTCTCTTTGGGTCGCCTTGAGACTCGCGGTATTTCCCAGGTGCGCCATGAAGCCAATAATGCTTCCTTTCCTGATTCTGGCTCCTCCTCCTGCAAGCATTGCCTTGTGCTAAAGCCCCGGGGCAGGGCTGTCCTCCCACCCACCCTGTTTTCCGCAAGAGCCTCCAACTGTCGCTATAGCTGCCTTCCAGCCCAAACGAGGGACTCTTTTCCCACCTGCTCCATGCAACGTCGTCTTGCAACCTGGGGGCTACAAAGCCCAGCACGGGGGTCCACTGACTCTCAGCGGCATTCCCAGCAGCCAGAGGCCCAGATCCCACTTGCTTGCATCAATCAGCCTTGACCAGATCGTGTAGGCAGCCGTGGCTTCGATAAACATGAACCAGTTTTGATCAGCAGTCTCAAAAGGGAGAGCCACAGGCCCCGAATCTTTGGCTTCCCTGAGCTAAAGGAGGCAAGTGAGAGATGGACCTGCGCGCCATCCCCGATAGATGGCTATCTGGCCTATATTTGAAACCGCCCAGTGAAGGGGAAGGAACCATCCATGTGGTAACCTAACGTCTAATCCGTAGTCTAGATCCTTGGAGCTTCATCCCATTGGTTCTAGTCTTACCTTCTGGAGCACAGTGCGACAGCCCTTTCAGATATCTGAAGACAGCTATCATGTCTTCTCTCCTCCTCCTCCTCATCTGCAAGCTAAGCATCCCATTTTAACCATTCCTCATAGGACTTGGTTTCCAGCACTTTCACCATCTCGGTAGCCCTTCTCTGGACTTGCTCCAGTTTATCGATGTCTTTCAAACGGGGGTGTGCAGAACTGAGCACAATACTCCGAGTGAGGCCTGAGCAACACAGAGTGAGATAATTATCTCCCACCATCTGGATTCTGTGCCCCTCTTGATGCTCCTTAAAATGTCATTGGCCTTCTTTGCAACTGCATTACACTGTGGGGACATGTTGAACGTGTGATCCATTGGTACACCCAAGGCCTTCTCACATGTGCTGCTCTCGAGCCAGAATTCCCCTATGATGTTTTTCGTTTTTCTTACCTAGATGCATGACTTTACATTTCTCCCTGTTTAATTTCATTTTCTTTGTTTCTACCCACTGTCCTAGCCTAAGTCTTTTTGCATTTTTTCCCTCTCCTCCCAAGTATTAGCCATCCCTCCTAGCTTTGTATTGTCTGCAAATTGGGAAACATTCCCTCAGCTCCCTTGTCCGTATCACTGAACAGCACCGGGCCCAGAACAGAGCCCTGTGGGACCCCACTTGAGATGTCTCTCCGGGTAGAATTGATGCCGTTTATAAGTACCCTTTGCGGTTGATCTTTGAGCCAGCTCAAAGGTGGATCCGCCTAATGGCTGAGTTGTCAATCCCATATTTGACCGTTCTGTTGATAAGGATGCTATGAGAGACTTAGTCAAAAGCCTCGCTGAAGTCGAAGTATACTATATCCGCAGCATTTCCCCAATCAATCAATTTATGATAGTAACTCTATCATAAAAGGAGACCAAGTTAAACTGGCATGACTCCACACGTATTAAAGTTGCCAAGGTTGAGAAACACTGACTTCGTCTTCCGTTCCTGAGGCCAACGGGGTCTTTCATCGGTCTAAGGAGCTTATTTCCTCTTCAGTTTCTCTCGTATCTGAAAGCAGTCGTAACATAAATCGATTTTTGCGAGCGATTTGAAGTTCATCTAAAAGGGGCTCTGTCGTTTCAACTGGCTGTACCCTCTTCCTTTCCTTCAATCCCACCTTTCCGGAGAGGAAGCTTCCAGCATCACCCTCGACTTGGTCCGCACCTGCCTTTCCTGTGGGCTGCAAGCTGGAGCTCTGGATACGCCGCGTCCCCTAATGGCCCCTCCTGGCCGAGGGAAGACGGCGCCCCCTCCCTCGGGGAGTTCTGGCAGAAGGGGGCACGAGCCCCTTCCCACCTCTGCTCTTTGGGGAGCAGGAGGAACTTGGCTTGACCAGGCGGCTGGTGCAGGCTGCTCCAGTCCCGCTTTCTGTTTCAGCGATCCATCCAGTCCAGCTTTCAGGACCTGGCCGAGGAGCTGACGACGTCCATAAGGATGCAGTTTGAGCCAATGCTGCGGCCAGTCCAGAAGAACCGGGAAATACTTCCAGGTAAGGCGGGTCTGGCGTGCACATTCTTCTCCGGGGGAAGGCCAGCGGGTGGATCTGTGACTGCGGCAAAGCGGGGCATGGAAGAGGCCGCAGCTCGGCGCATGCCCCGCGTTCCAGAGCTCCTGGATTCAAGGCCCGGCAGCGGAGGAAATTCTCGCCTGGCCTCTGGAGCGCACCTGCTCCGCGTCACAGCCAGGAGCAGGGCTAGAGGGCAACTGCCTGATTCAAGAACACACAGTCACTCAAAGCGCCCTGGTTTAGAATCGTAGGGGCCTAGGGCGGAAGGGCCACCGAGTCCAACCCCTGGCTCCGTGTCCAAAAGCGCGCTCGCTTTTTTGCAGCCCCATCGCACTGCCGCGTCACGCTCACAAGGACCCTTTCTAAGCCAAGGACCCAGGGTCCTGTACCCGTGCATTCCGCTGTTTTCTAAGCGAGGAACTCCGTACGCGTCTCTATTCCATTTCACTGGGCTATTTCCAGCCCGTGTTTCTAACCTGTCCGGCTACCCGCAGTAGCGGTTTATTTATTTGGATCCGTGATCAGCATTTTGAATTTCTCCTTTTCTGCCATTGGGGTATTAGCTGTCCCACCCAGCTGTAGTCCATCTGTCAGTGTAATAAGATTTCCCTCCCTCTCTTCATCCGAGTCATTCATACACACGGCTCCCCCACATCCCAGGAGGAACAGCCTGTGCCCGCTGTCTCGATGTGAAGGGGGCCGAGTCATCTCGCCAGGCTCTGGCCCTTGTTGATGCCCAAAGGGTGCCACTAAAGCCTGGATGGCTTGGAGGGCACACAGTAACCGAGATAATGGTGATAATGTTTTTATATTTTATATTGGGGGTGGGGAGTTAGGAATGTTAC